GATACCCCATTAGCTTGGCTGATGCCAGCTACAGGCTTATTTCTTTAGACAGAAAAGTACTCGCCAATAACACCTCCTGACTTCTAAAGAAAGTAGAAATCACTTAAGAACAAACCAAACCCTCTTTACTGTAAGTTATCTTCTCCAGTGTGATAAGGATTTAGTATACATATTTTTACATGCCATTTCAGGAAGATATCAGGAAGATAAGATAGGAGCTCAGGGGAGCAACTTTAAGAATTCATTTAAAAATTAGCATATTCATACTAAACAAAAAGAAAATTCATTCAAGATAAAGTTATTTTACAAATAAAAGGTTGGCTCATTTTCCTCACAGAATTCAGAAGACACTCACGAAAAACTGCAAATAGAATAAAATGAAGATCAAGTCTCAAATTCAGTTTACAGATCCAAAGGTGGAAATTTTGGGCAGATTTTCTAAGTAAAACCCACAAATTTTTCTTTAAATGAAACTCACTCATACTTTCAGATAGACTCAGTCAGTTCAGTCAGTTAAGGTTAAATAGAGTGTGCACTCGGCATGGACGGGCCTTATGAGAAATACCAATGCATGCTTCAAGAAATGCACGACTTCATGCCTTCTGACAGCTCCATTCCACAAACATCCCATAATGACGGTCATTTAAAGCAAGGACTTTCAATAATGAAGGTTATACATGGCTATAAAATGTAAAACACAGGTAAACATGCACACAGTCTTTGGCCAGTCATAGTAAGCAACAATGCACATATCAAAAGCTCAGTTTTGAAACTTTAGGTCATTCATCAAGCTGTCCCTTCACAAAATTATTTATTGTTTATTTTTATGTCCAGGTTGAAAAATAACTGCAGCTTGCTATTACACGGCTCCCAATTAATCCAAACTGTCATACTCCATTTCCAGGCCACCAAACACAACTCATGTGGTGTCAACTGGCATTATGTGTCTTTCACAAGGATTATAACTCCTTAAGAAAACATCCAAGAGCAGGACCTGAGGCAGACTAGAAATAAAGACTGCATTAAACAAACAAACAAACAAACAAACTCAGCACTTTTTTCTTACACATGTACTTTGCTCCCAACTAGTGTTTTCCCTAAACTTCTGTTATTCACAACTGAATCATACTTTGGATCCTTTTCCAAATCTGCACAATATCTAGACGATTATTTACTTAATATATTTTTAAAAATTCAGTGGCCCACTAGGTACTAATTTAGCATTATCCTAAGCAATAATATCTCTGAAAGAATGACTTTGTATTTGATGTAGGAGTTTCATATATATATATATTTTTTCCTAATGAATATTAAAAAATACTTGGCATACCACTGCAAATCACTACACATGGACTACATATCACTACATATGGATTACACATGAACATTAAGCATTTCATATTTCCTCACTACTTTCATTGTTGTCAACTTTTCCCTCTAAATTTTCTTAATCTTCTTAAAAGCACTCACACATGGCCTGACAACCAAACATGGTCCTACTCCATCCACTCTTTGTAGTCACAGGTTCTTTTTAATTCTAAATCTGCTTTATCTTTGATCCAATTTCTTTATGTTCCCCAGGCACTTGATGAAACTATTCCAGAGAGAGCTGAGTGTAGTCTAATTGCTTAAAAGGAAGCAAGTCGGTGGGACTGTCCCTGGAACATTCAAATCTCAAGTTGGGGAATTCAGAACTGACCTCTGACATGCAGTGCCTCAAAGGACAATTAGCCAAAATTGGGGCTGGGAGGCAACTTCAGAGCATGCTTAGGTGGGTTACAAATGGCACTGGAAAACACTAAGAAAGAAAAAGTCCTTGCCACAAAGCACTCGGCATCATTTCCACTAGAGAGATTTAACTGAAAAGGATGATTTCAACACTGGCTGCCCTAACAAATTAGTCTCCAACTGCTACCTCTGCCAAATGCATCTCTCCTCCCCTTAATGCGGAGGTGCTTTTAAATTAAAACATAAGGGGAAAGTGCAGAAAAGAGAGTCATTTATAGCACTTGGGCCACTTGAAACAACTTTTCACCAAAGGTCCTAATCAAATTATCAAGCTCTTCAAGTCAGTGCTTTATGACAGAAATAAAGGCCCAACTAAAGTATTCGGGTCTCTTGGCATTTCCACGTCTCTGGGCAGAGCGCACACTGCAGCATACCCATTCACACTGGCTGCATGAAAGAGAACAGATCACAAAGGGCAGATTACAAGGGAGAACGACTCCACTTCAGTGGGGGAAGGGACAGGCGTGAATGGATTGTAAATAATGTTGCTAAGAAAGGAGCAGAAATATGGCAACCTCAAATAATCCTCTTGCCAGGAATTCTTCCCAAGAGGACTGTTCTTTCTGAACTCTGCTTTCAAGTATGTGAGAAATATGAAAAACTTACTGAATATCTGGGGGATACTCCTTCCCTGCCTGCTTAACTTGCAGCTCTTTGCAAACATTTGTAAAAGGGCTTAAAAAAAATCCAAAAATTTTATTGAAAAAGATGGAATGATAGGGAAAAAGAGGAGGTACAGAGTGTTGTAACAGTTGATCACCTCAGCTACGAGTATAACACCCTTTTTTTTTTCTTTCATGAAACAGCTTGTCTTAAGTAAAACCGAGTGGTCTGAGTGATCCGTTCAGTTCCTGAAGGACGCCCTTTCTATGCTCCTGCAACCCCGTTCAAGGTGCAGACTTTCGACCCGAGGGTTATCATCCTCTCTAACGCATACACACACTTAGGGAAAGTACCTTTTGGGAAAAGGATGCTGTTGCTTTTGAGCGTAACACAACCATCCAACTGTTTATGCCACCTCTGTGATCTTGCTGTCACCGTTTCTAACTACAGATACCACACAATGAATGACATGCTGGCTGACACTTCTGCTCTGCTAACAGCCATAAGGACTTCTCTCTGCTATCATCAGAGAGCACAGTGTTACCCAAATGATGCTGACAGACTACAGCAATAAATCACCCTGGCTGAAACAAACATGACCTCACCATCTGAGTGATGCACATCATTTTGTAAAATTTCACTCCCCTTTCTCGCTCTCACACCATCATTCACTTGAACTGTTTCTATACCTCAGGTACCAACATGTGAGAAGAAAAGTGAGCCAAAACAAAAATCCACTAGTCTCTAGCTACTTTTGATTTAATCCTCTATATGTTAGGGAAAAGAACACCTTAGAATTTCAGCTATTTACCTTTTTAAGTATAGCCTTCCAATTTGTTACACTATCTGTAGTTCAAGCATCAAACATACTCAGTCTTTACACAAGTATCTCTATAGTCTCATTTTGGTCTAGGTCACTGTCTTTCCCAAATGAAATATATGGGCTATTACCAAAATGCTAAAAGACAATTTAAAAGAACAAAACAAAACTACGCCGTTACCACTCCAATCCAATTTTTACATATACACAAAAAGAGAGAGAATAAAAGGAAACTGGTAAAACTCAAATTAGAGGAGCTGTCTTGTTTTTGTTTGATTTCTGTTTTGTCTTTTAAAATAGAAATTTCTGTGTAGGAATCCCAACAGGGAGCATCATCTTCCCAGTCCAACAAACAAGAGCAACTCTGCAAGGTACAACGAAAGGACAAAATCATCTGCTAAAAAGTGCTACACTGAGCCAGTCACAATCCTTATTGTTATTATCCACTAGTTTTATATCCTTTTTCTATCACCTTATTCTGGGTGGGGCAGGGCAGAATACCTGAAGACCAAAACATGGAAATAAGAAAAACCTCACATTTTGAACACAGCCTAACAGCTTCCTTCATTATGCATTCTTTTAATAAGGAATGAGTGATTAATTACTCAGGAATGCCAATGTTTTCAATGAGTCTGCAACACGCATTTATTTTTTCTGAAGAGAAACAGTATCTGCTCCACCTGCAGGCCAGGGCTGTCAACTAATAAAACATCAGAAGTGACATGCAAAAACGAAAGCAGAAATAGCAAACCTAAAACTGTCTGACAAGAGTTTTCAGAAAAATCAGTTATAGAGAATCAACAGCAATTTGATTAAAGGTTTAAGATCTTTTCATATTTAAAGTCCTACAACTGGGGAGCTAAATTTCAACCTCAATTAAAATCATCCGGTCAAGCTCATTATTGCAGAAGGCATGAAATCTGAATCCCCTGAAAACTAAAGAACTCAACTGACACCTCACTTCCTGCATGAAGACAGAAGGTCTGAGACAGGTAAGGTAACATTGAGAACAGCCTCCACATCCACCCAAGAAGAATCAGCTTAGCTCTGTTGGCTACCTTAATAACACAACTGAAAAAAATCATCTTTTCTGGCAGTCAGTCCATAATTAAATTTTTATACACTCAATTTAAGTTACTGAATGACTTCCCAGGGTTACTGGTTGTATTTTGAAGTTGTTCTTCCTCTTGACGCAGTGTTTTGTTTGAAACTTTGTTGTGGAACTGAAGTATCTGACAAAACAGCTTTCAAACACATTCTACAGGAAACACTGCAAACTGCCTGTCATGAAACCTCACTTACCACAAGTAAGATAAAAAACAAACAGTTAAAGCATGTTACAACGTTCCTCCATTTTTAGAGAGCAACGTAACCAATACTCTCTCTGTTTTGAGATATGGGAACTGTTTGGTGCAAACCTCAGCATTTTGTTGGAGTTAATAACAAACTCGACTCCTGTCTGCATCTGAACTTTGGCCAGATCACTCAAATGACATTTCAGAATGGCTCCTGTGGACAGCTTGCAGCAGCTAATCCCTGTGGCTGCGATTAACCACGCTGATCCCCTAGCTCTGCAGGCTCCCTCCCTCCACTACTTGAGCAGCGAAGCCCTCCTGGCCTGCTGGCAGGGCAAGACAAACGCCAGGAGGAAAGAGGCCTGCATAAACTCTTCCCAACTCTGCTTGGTTCTACGTACGGTTAGCAAAGACCTACCCCACCGTCCACAGGCTCATCCAGAGCTGGGCCCTGAGCCAAGCCCAGCCTCTGAAAACTGTCTCAGAAAACTTACCCAGTGGAGCTTTCAGCTCCTGCGCAGAAGGGCTGCTTTGGAGAGGCGTCTTGCTACCTTCCATTCACAGAATTTGGTTGTGCTTCATTGCACACTTGCTACTGCAGGCTTGCATCATGATTTGGGTCTGCCCACCAACTCCAAATATGCTCCATGTTTGGGCTTATGTAACATTTGCTACTACTGTAAAAAGCACTTGAATTACAAAGGTCCTGGCAGATCAACAGAAAACAGGGGGTGGAGTCTAATTTCATCTAATATGGTCATACCAGGCGTCCTGGACGGTGTAAATTAATCTTTCTATTTGAAAGGCAACTTGTCAAAACTGGGGAAGATGGAATACTATAAGTTTAACCTGCTAAAATACAAATTACTTATACTTTGTGAATTTTTTTCTGAATGCCTTTAAACTGACACAGTTACTACCAGGTATATTACAAAACTTACATGATTTATTTAAAAACTTACATTTTAAGTCTCAGTAGACCTAAAGGTCTTAAAATTAAACATTTCTATAAAATGCCTGCAGCATTTTTCCGGTTTTATTTCCCCTATACTATCTATAGTTGCTAAACTTTACAAAAAAAGTTTATTATTCCTAAGCATACTTTTCCTTCCTAAATCTAGTAACAAAAAAACTTAACCCACTTTCTGTGAAATATATGAATATTTGTAAAATGTGTAATTTCATATCCACATGTTTGTCCAGTTTGTTGTTCAATCACTGGAGGACTGACTAAAGCTTTCATACTTTTAAATCCAAGAATTTCTCTCACTGAGTGCCCCCTTGAAAATAGTGTCTTCCTGGACTGTTTCCCTATCATCCCTATCATGCTCCCTCTCTCTGGCCAATCAACAAATCTACTGTCAAATAGACATGGAATGGGGTGTAATGGCTCACACCTGTAATCCCAACTACCTGGGAGGGTAAGGCAAGAGTCCAGGAGTTTGAGGCTGCAGTGAGCTATGACTGCGCCACTGCACTCCAGCCCAGGTGACAGAGTTCTAATAAAAACAAAACAACAAAAAATCACAAGTGACACAGAAAGAACCGCCAAGTGATCTGAGTTTTATAAAAATGACTTAGAAATCTGATAGTTCAAAATGAACTCTTTTAAATGTCAAAAGAAGCGGGAAAAGATTCTTCTACAAAATCCTATCACCCCACACAGAATATTGGGCAGAAGTCATGAGTTACGTATGTGGAAATGATTTAGCCTGAAACGGGTGGGGAAGAGTTTTTAGACAAGCATGAAAACGTCTTCTATCGGGCCAAATTCTAAATTGACTCTAAAGCAAAAGAATAATAGCTGCACTGCCCTATTTTCACAAGGATTCAGATCCCAACAATGTCAGCAATACCAAGACCCAGGGGATTTTCTGAAACCCACTTTCCCCCAAGCCCTCCCCCACCACCGAGATTCCTTACAATAACGTTCATACAATCCAAAACTATGGTAGCCCTTAAAAGACACTAGGAGAACCCAAGGGAAGAGTCATCAGCAAGCCTTAGAAGCACAGGATGCGGATACATCTCCCAAATCTTTTCAAAAGCTCATTAGTGAAAATAAGAATTTTAAGTTAATTCACTGAAGCTTTTCTTAAGCTAGAAAAAAAAAAAAAAAAAAAAAAATTCCATGGCTGTACAACCTGATTGCCGCAGGTCTTAGTAGTATTTACTCTACTTCAACTGCCCTCCCTGCAGGGGTAGCCAAGGAATCTCCTTAACGTCATCAATAGCAGAAAAGAACAGGGTAGGAGGATTCTTCTTGAGCTAAACCACACTTCCCTATCACTACACTTGTACGACAGGACACCAGACTTCTTGCTGGCCTCCCAAGGACAAATGCTTGCTTTTCTAATATTCCCTTTTGTACACAGTGATTGTACCAGTGGGGAAAAATATCATTATGAGAGTCAGCCAATCCAAGACAGTTCTAAGAATCAAGTCATTCTGCGACACTGAAGAAAACCAGGGTGAATTTTAGCAAATGTTCTTAAATGCTACAAACACACGTCTATATTTAAGTTCAGAAATAAGAGAAAAACAATTTTAACATTTCTAAGACCTACATCAGAAAAGGGATGAATGAATGGCTGTGTAAGCCAGGAAAACATAATTTTGTATACCAATAACACAAATACATAGAAACTGAGAAAAAAGTTCAATTTTAAACACTCACATGTGCCCCTCTTAATGCCCTGAATAAAATGTTTAAGCAAATACTGCTTTGTTCTGCTTGTAAAGCATTATCACAATTTTCTTCAAATCATTTCTCAATATCCTATCCAAATAAAGTTTATTTTGATATTAAATATCCCAGTGATGGCTCAGATATAAGTGTTTAGGTCTGGGGACATGGTCATATTTCTTTTTTCCTAAGAAAAAAAATTAAGACTACAGACTAAAAAAAAACTACAGACTAAAATAACATTTTAATAGAATAACATCCGTGCCTCACTGACCAAAAATTATATGTATCAGCTGTGGTTTGGATGGTGTACACATGTCAATTTTACTCTAGTGCACAAAGGGAGTTCTGAACTGTGCATTAGCCTATTCGCAGCAAACAAGCAAACTTGCAGGAGGCTAGGAGAAGCACTCAAGGTTTGGGTTCAGGGGGCAGCCAGCCTGCAGTCTGAGCACTTCTAGTTGTGCAGCCATGGGCAAGAGACTCTGGAGAGCTAAGGACTGATACTCCCTCCTGCCACAAGCCTGGGTTGAGGAGTAAATTTGAGATAACGCAGGTAATGCAGCGTCCAGCACTTGTTAAACGTTCAGCAAATGTTAGCTATTATGATTACAGTCAAGGAGAAACTGGATGGATGATAGAAAAGAAGAGTTAAACAGAAACAGAAAAACTGAGGTTTCTATTACAGAAATTAGTCAAGTCCCCCACAAATCTTGGGATTTCCTAAACGGAATCCTTGAGAAGCCAGCAGAGGTGTCATTCAGTGTTCTGGAGGGCAACAAACAAGCTGCTGGCAGTTATGAAATACTGTGTTCCTGTCATTGGTGAAAGCCAGTTCTCCATTTTACAGGAATACAAGTCTCCACTAACTCCACTTCACTGTCTCAGCAGGCCAGGCGAGTTATAATTGGCCTTAATTGGCACTTACAGGAGCTTTAACATTCCTTACCTGCTGCCAAGGAGCACTTGAAAGGGGAAAAAAGTATTTTCAAACTTGGAAATACCAAGCAATTCATTCGGCTGTGGGCCTGGAAGCCTGCTATCCAGAATCAGATTAGCTTCACCTAGAAATGTTGCTATGTTATTATCCAGCGCTCATTAGGTACTCACACTGGATTAGGAGAGGTGGGAGATGAAATTTAAATGGGAATAATTCACCTTGGAGGCTAAAACCATGCAGCAGCCTTCCTCTAGCTTATCTTTTGGTGGATGGCTCACCAGGGCTCACCCACACTTCATGTGTGTAAGGCAGGCAAATAAAATATATTTTCATGGCCTGATTTACACAGGCTTTGAGTTAACCACAGTCTGACCTCAGCCCAGTTATTATTTGAAACACACAATGAACACTGTTATAAGGTGACCAATCATACCAACTGCAAAGAGGATAGCGAGATCAGAAACAAAACTGGCCATAGTTTTTCCTTGGCCTTGCAATTAATCACACTCAAAATTGTTATCCTCTAGGAGGCCTCACATTTTGCACAGAGGAATCCTAGCATAAAAGAATGAGATTTCTTCCTTAAGGTAAATCCCATACAGAATGAATAGAAATTTCCCATAGATGCCAGGGAAACTGCCTATAATTGTTTAAATATTTTTTTAAATAATCACTCGTTTTGAAAGATCTCTGTCTCATATTATTATTACTCAGACTCGTGCTTGTTTGAGAAATTTACTTCAAATTAAAATTAATCATATGTGTGTGTGTGTGTGTGTGTGTGTAAGGAACATTGTTAAGAGGCTTTAGAAAAATAAATGGAAGCTTAGAAAAATAAATACACCTACTCCTTTGGAGATACTCTTATAGTGACTGGTAGAGATAAAGTATTATAGCCTTTTTGGAAAGCAATCCAGCAGCAGCTATTAACACTGCAAATAACTATCTTTTGTGACCCAGGAATCCACTCCTGAGACTCTATCCCACAGAAACTAAACCACCAGTAATTAAGTATGTATGTACCAGAGTGGTTACTGCTGTTTGGTTCACAGAGACAAAAAGCAAGAAACAAAATGAATGTCCACAGAGGGCCTGGCAGAGGAAGCTACAGCACAGCCACACTTTAGAGCAGTATGCAACCATTAAAAAGAGGGGATTAGTGTTATCCAGGGCTGTGAATGGATTTACATGAGGTATTGTTGAGTAGAAAAGGAGCAGAAGTGTGCATAATAGGATCCATTTTTTTGTAAAACTATCACCAAAAGCCCCTACTAATAAAATACATGAGTCTATGTGCCTGGATAGAGTTAGAAGCATGAGAAAAATATAGAAGGATGCATACTAAGTTACATACTAAGAATGCAGCATGTATGATTTATAGCGTAGTGCGGACTGCTACAGTTAGAGAAGGCAGGTAAGTTGAAAGAGCCAATGAAATAAGAAAAAGGCTGCACTGAAAACAGTTGAGATGATTACATTTGTGTATTTACATAAAAATACATTATAGGTGTACATATTTAATACATTCATATGCCGATCAAAAAATCTATAAAGAAAGAGTTGGTCTAAAAAATTTGTTATAAAAATGCACTGTGAAGGTAGCTGAAGAAAAATTAAAGAAATACAAAATTCTGGCCGAGGTGGGTGGTTCACACCTGTAATCCCAGCACTTCAGGAGGCAGAGGCAGGTGGATTGCTTGAGCCCAGGAGTTTGAGACCAGCCTGGGTAACATGGTGAAACCCTGCCTCTACAAAAAATACAAAAATCAGCTAGGTATGGTGGCGTGTGCCTCTAGTCCCAGGTACTGGAAGGGCTGAGGTGGAAGGATTGCTTGAGCCCGGGAGGTGGGGGTTACAGTGAGCCAAGACTGCGCCACTGCACTCTAGCCTGGGCAACAGACTGAGAATCTGTCTCGAAGAAGAAGAAAAAAAAGAAATACAAAATTCTGGTATTACATCAAACAAGTGTGTCTTGATTACTGTCATTCTCTTAATTTGTTTGGCTAAGCAGGCTGAGACTCAAGTAGCACAACAGACCACAGTTGAATCACACAGAAAAAGGCCTATTAGCCACTTTGGCAAAATAACATCTTAACTCTC